CGCTAGTTGGCACTAATTATATTTTGCTATGAATTATTTGTTCATAGAGTCCTGAATTAATTATTTTAGACTGTAGACTGTCTGGGACTGAGGTCAGTCTAGCCAGTCTCCAAGCGCATCCCTCTTACTGCTTTTACAATATCAGAATAACACGTCTGCCACAGTTTCCAGCCTTTGTCAACACCAAATATTTCTTTATATTTTATTTACAAATGAGAGACACATGTATATCATGAGCACTGATAAGTGAAAACTGATTTTTTTTTATTTACAAAAGTAATTATCTCTCTTCAGATTGACTTCTAATATCACCTGCTGTTTGGTCTCCTAGGTTTGTTTGTCCTTGTCTGTCTGGCAGAACTATCTGCCATGACATTTGCATGGCACCCACTTCCGTGGTAGCTGAGTACCTTCTCTGGACTAGGAATGGGACCTGTTTTCATATCAAATGTTAGCTGAGATGTTGTTTTCAGCCCCGTAACTGTTTGCTGGTTCAGGTATCATCAGCTCACACCACCTCTGCACCACACATTTTCCATCCATATCTCCCTTGTTTGCTGTTAGCACCTCTGTGTTCATTTTCTTTCTGTGGTGTACCTCAAGTTAGTTTCATTGTACCCATCATTTTCACTTCAAATGTCTGTGGTGTCAGAGAAAAACTTTTTTTTTTTTTTTTTTTGCTCCCACATTCACCTGATATTCTGGGTGCCTTTTGTAACTCTATCCAAATGCACTACTTTTAATGTCAAATTTGAATGGGTCAGATTTATTTTTTGCTACTCTTCATGATTTTCCTTCTACTGGCATACAAATATTGATCCTTTTGTGAGACTTTGTCGCACACAGTTTTGTGATGTTTTTTCTTGTCAGACACATCATCTTGCCATTGATGTATTTGCTGCATTCACCCATTTCTGCTTCTTTAAATTACTTTGTGCCTTACTTTTTGTGCCCTTAGTAAACTTTTAAAAAAAATGTTTATATATCAGATATTTATGGGCAATATGCATATGAAAACAGGAGGAAAGAATCATTGTTTTAGGGAGAACATACCCTGATAATGACTTCTTAAATATTTGTAGAGATAGCCCTGGGCATCTGAGCCCACAAAATACTTTATAATACAACAGCTTGATTACATAATGATACTTTAGTTTTAAAACGTATGATCTTTCTGTTTATGGGAAGGCATAATAGGCTCCTTTGAAATACAATATTTTTGCCCTGAACATAACTGATTTTAAATGAAAGGACTAACTAAAGAATGCCTTTCTTCAAGTTTGTGCTTCACTTTGTTGTTGAATCCAGCACGATGGTTTCTTTTACAAAACTCCTACCAGGCCTGGAGACCACACCTATTTCAAGACACATTAATTGTGAACGTTTCATGGGTTTCCGTGCAGGAAGTTACCTAGTACCATTTAAAATCACATGTTTCAAATTCTAAATCTTGTTAAAAAACAGAGAGAAATTTCTGTATACCACCACCCTCCAGCACATAGAGAATTTCCTTTTTATATTTAGTTTCAAGATACTGTCAAATTCAATTTGAAGATATTGTCAAATATAGGTTAAGCTTAAGCAGAAGGCAACGTGATTTGGGAGACGGATTTGTCCTATGCAGCAGAAAGAAATTAATGAGACTGTTTAATTCAAGGCAGTTCGTAAAGCATCAGAACTACATCAAACAGTATCAAAGTCTAATATTTTAAAACGCAGGTGTGGATAAATATATCACCTAAGCTCTATTTCTTTTCCTGCATTTTTAATGTTTCTCTGCACTACCTGGTTCCAGCTCAAACTGCTACTGGAGCTGACACTGACCTGCATTCTGGGTTATTTCCATTGTGGCTAGAAGCAGGAGTGCAAGAAATGTTCTCTAAAAAGTGTTCTTCTAACATCTTCTGTGCAGTTTATTGTTTATTGTTGTTCATGAATCTCAACCAAGCCTGAGTTTTGTTGCCTTTTAACTTTCTCACGAGGAGTACCTGTTTGATTTTTTTTATGAAAGTAGTTAAAGTCTGCCTATAATTTGGCAGCTAAACTGATTTATTATTGAATAAATCCTTTTCCTACATTTTTTAAACCTTTATAAAATTTAGGGTGAAAATACTGAAATCTTTATCATGTTTTTGGTTGTCATTTCTCGTTGTGGGTCCATCCTGTTCTTAGGTTCCTCATTAAAATAATGTTGGAGATCAGGATATAAAGAAAGTACTTTTTCTCCAGAGATTCTTCCCTGATAAACCCCACTCCAAAACACAAGAAGGTCACTCTATAGTGAACAACAGTTGGACTTTATTACAAGGAATATTTTTTGCTGAAATGTTCTTTACCACTATACTTAAACGTCGGCACCAGATAGGAAACTCTGCAAAGCTTTTGTTTCATCTTGTGCCCTAAGTATTTATAGCCTGTTGTGAGGAAACACTGACAGCAGTGCAGTGATGTTTTTGTTCTTGATAGAGGTGCCCTTAAAAGTGAGTTTGCTTTGAAAATTGTTCATTGAATCAGGATATTAGAACTTTACAGACATATTTCTCCCTGTCTTTCTCTCTTGTGCCTAATTGGATTTCCAAAATAAGTTCTTAACAATCCAGCTAAGACAATGTGGTCATGAAAAGGATGTCCAAATCCACCAATTTGCATTGGTTTGGTTTGGCTTAACTTTCAAAGTTCTTGGAGCAGAAAGTTGATGGCACGTGAACACTATAATCGGCTTGATATTCTTGGATTTTTTATTCCTTTCTCTCTACCATATTATATAGTGTCCAAATGAAATGCTAATCAGACCTTGTTTCTGGACCAAAGTAACTTTATAACAATAATAATGCACTTGTATACTTCAGGCCATTTTGCAAGATGTAATATCCTCCAGTTTACAACAGAGTATGTCATTTTCACTCAATCTGGATAATTTATGTAGGTTCCAAACTGATACTATTAATGCGAAACCTTGTTATTTCACGTGAAGTGACATCTAATGCTTTCGTTTCCATATATCCAAAAAGGTTAAGGACCAAATTGAGTTAGAGCTGAACAAAAGTTAACATTCGGTTTTGGGACTTGTTTGTTTGTTTTATTTTTCCTCTTCACTTTCTGGTTTCGACTTCACTTTACATGATGCAATCCTTAATCCCTTACCACAAGAGTCTCACATTCCTATGCTGGGAATTACTCTTGCTCTCTCACTCTCCACTTACTAAACCAGAATGAGACTCTTCAGATTTAGGATAGAATTGCATTACTTAAACATTTTAGTAATTTCCATTTGCTCATATGTTATATATCCAGTAGATGGATAACTTCCAAGTGTTCTTGATTACCAAATCCTTTTTGATTTCTCTTAAACAAACATTTTCTTTATCTCTCTGTAACCAAAGGGGGTCTTCCTGAAATGAGTCATCACTCTCAGTATTATGTTGCAGTACACCCACAGGTGCAGGGTAGAAAATTGTCTAATAAAAGACATAGATAACCAAGGTATAATACGGAATTATTGTTCCTTTTTTTAAAGTAGGTACAAATCAGGATGTTTCTAGCAAGACAGACATAAAATAAGAACTGTATTTTGTAAAGAGAGAAAACAAACAAACAAAAGATTTTGTTTGGTTTCGATCCTCATCAAAAGGAAAGCTAAACTTGTAAAATGTTTCAAGATAAGTGAGGAGTACCTCCAAGTTGAGTATACTGGTTATGGCACTTACCAGCCAAGGCAAGATGCAAGTATCTTTAAAATGAGGACTTGAACCTCAACTCCTTCTTATTTAAGTGGTATTACAATCAGGATTCTGGTCTTTTTCACTTGTT